GAAATGTCGGGTTTGCTTCGGGCTCGGGCCTGCAAATCAAGATAATTGGTCGGGCTCGGGCTGGGTTGGGCTTAAATACCAGCAGGCCGGGTCGGGCTGGATTTTTTTGGCCCGATCTTACCTCGACATCAAATCCATGGTCTCAAATCACTGTCTGTCATGACCTTTATTTTCCACATGATGGCGCAGTAGTACAAATAAAGCCTCATGATGCTTCGGCCCAGGAACGAACCAGTTGGATGGAAAGCCTCATTGCTTCATGAGGCTTCATTTTCCCATCACTAGTTAACAGCGGTCAACTTCCAGCAGCGTTTGCAACTCATCGGTAAGGAAAGTAGCTATTGGCTGTCATAAACGTCGCTCAATGATGTCATGAGTGCGTGTGATTTACTTGGGGGCAGGGGGGTGATTTTTTTTCCTTATCTTTTTTCTTTTGTAATTTTTATTTGTTGATGTTTTTCTTTATTTATTTCAGACAAAGAAAAGTTTTACATTTACATCCAGCCCAGATTGTAAACCTGGCGCGATCAACCAGCAGCGGCTTCATTTGGGGGTGGGGCCACAACAGCTCCCGGCGCTGCTCATTGAGAAGAACGTGCTTTCACCAAACAGACTCCAAAAGTCTCCAATAACACCAGAAAAAGTTGCTAGATTGTAACTAGTCACTTTTTTTTTAAAAAAGTCGCTCGAGAGGATCTGAATACTCACTAAATATAGTGTCAAAGTCGCTAAGTTTGGCGACACTGACTTCGTCATGTCATTAAAAAAAATAAAATAAAATATCTTTAAAAAAAATAATGAAACGCCTTTTTTTTCCAACACACCTCGCGGTCGCCTTGGGATCAGTCCGCGGTCGACCTGGTTGGGCACCCCTGTTTTAGAGGCATGTCAGGGCAGCCCCACAAAATCTTGACCCTTTAGGAACTCTGGACATCTTACGAGTGTCTAAAACATGCAGTTCCAAATCCGCTGATGTGACCATGAAATTGATCATTGAACTGCGGCCCCGGGTGTCTTGGTGCTAAGTCCACATATGGACACCCTTTTGTTTGAACATGGTATTGGTTATGGACAATCTGTGATGAGCACAGAAGTGAAGTAACCAAAAAAAAAAAAAACACTCGAGTTCTAATTGGGGGAAACGTTTCTCTCAATCATGCCCTTTCAGGTCTCACTGTCACTGCACACATGAGGAGGGAGGGAGAGGGACCGGAGAGAGAGAGAGAGAGAGAGAGCGAGAGAGAGACTTCCCTCATATTTCCCTGTTGTGCAGCTAATAAAGGTTATCTTATCTTATTTTACAAAGACTCACACTTACCTTACGGAAAAGAGATGTTAGCAACGGACTGGAATTTGCAAAGGTCCATTTGTTCTGGAGAGCAATTGCATCTGACACTAAAAAAATTGTCAATATAATAGAATTCATATTTAGATTGTAACCAAACTGTGCAGTCTATCTTTTAAGATGATAAAATTACAAAGGACTTATCTTAAAAGCAATATTAAATCCAAAGGCGCTGTTGCATGTATTTACCTGCAAGTTGAGGCTTGTAAGCAAGTGTCTGTGTGAGTGAGTGCATGAAAAAGCGCTGAAGGGCATCAGGAGAAGCTGAAATGTCACACAACGAGGTATCAAATAGCTGACACCTGCATCAAATACAGAACACACCCACAGAAAGAAAACAGCTACATCAGTCATGATGTCATATGAAGAATTTTGGGCATCTTAAATACTTCCTTGAATAGAAAATTAAAATAACACACAGTGACATAAAATTAACTCAATACAAATGAGCCTCCGTGAGTTGTCACCTTACCGTGGTGGAGGGGTTTGCGTGTCCCAATGATCCTAGGAGCTAAGTTGTCTGGGGCTTTATGCCCCTGGCAGGGTCACCCATGGCAAACAGGTTCTAGGTGAGGGGCCAGACAAAGCACGGCTCAAAGACCCCTAATGATGATTACAATGAATGGATCTAAGTTTCCCTTGCCCGGACGCGGGTCACCGGGGCCCTCCTCTGGAGCCAGGCCTGGAGGTGGGGCTCGTTGGCGAGCGCCTGGTAGCCGGGCCTACACCCATGGGGCCCGGCCGGGCTCAGCCCGAAGAGGCAACGTGGGTCCCCCTCCCACTGGGCGACACCCCCATGGGGGTCGGGTGCAATGTGAGCTGGGCAGCAGCCAAAGGCGGGGACCCTGGCGGTCTGATCCTCGGCTGCAGAAGCTAGCTCTAGGGACGTGGAATGTCACCTCTCTTACAGGGAAGGAGCCCAAGCTGGTGTGCGAGGCAGAGAAGTTCCGACTGGATATAATCGGACTTGCCTCCACACACAGCTTGCAGGGATGAGAGTGGCTCGTGATGAAAAAAGCGGAAAGGGGCGTGGCCGGGACGGGGGCGTGGCCACTTACAAAAGTGGCACTTAACATGCTGAAGATGAAGTGTATTCAATTTACACACTATTTGAAACTTTAACAGAAAAAAATCCCAAGATTTTTCACAGTGAAAATTTGTGCAATTTTGCTTATGCATTCCTGGTGAGCACCAACATGTAACTTCAAATTTGCTGCTCAAAATCAAAACGAAAAAAGGAAACATATTCCCTGCCATATTTAAGATTTGTTCATTACTTGTATTCATAAAGTGTTGTGTAAATGCGATAAAACGCTGTTGATTCTTACCTCATACAGTGATAGTGATTATTAATGAAATTATGAATGTATTTTATGATATAAAGTATATTTACAGTATATACAATATACAGTTTCATGAGGTAGAATACTTTATTTTCTCTTCATTTTAAGATTTTTAGGAAGCGCTAAAAGCTTATTGGCCCTCCCCGTCTTTTTCCACTCTCTTTTTAGCCAACTCCTCTTGTTTTTACACATGCTCCAGGCTGTCGAAAAGCGCTTGAGATCGAGTAGTTACTTTTCAGTAGAAATGTCTGTTTTTGGTGTTTCACCGAGGTTGCGTGACTCTGTAAAGCTTTCCATCCTCTCGATCCATATAGAATGACATTGTCACACAATGTACACAGAGATTTACCGGCGACATCGAGCTTTTTCACGAAATCCGACACAATCACAATGGTTCCTCTTTACTGTTTCCTACTGGGGTCACCGTCAGCTTTTTATCCAACCAGTCCCATCGAAACGTGTTTTTCAGATCCCCATCTATCTGACGAACTTTAGCTTCGTCGCGAGTCTCGATAACATTCAGCATTCGCGAGAAAGGGGTTTCGGAAGGCGAACACGGATTGGTTGTGATTTGCATTTGCCGAGATAGCGACCAATCACAACAAGTAAGACATTGGTTTTAGCCCGTATAGGAAGTAACGACAAACTAACGCTTCGCGATAAAAAC